AAAGGGGGCGCTGGTGACTAGTAGGTAGGGAGTTGGGCTCACAAATCAAAAGTGCACGGTTTGAATCCACCAGCTGCTCCTGGGGAGAAAGATAGGCAACCTTCTCCCATGTGATTTACAGCCTTTGAAAACTTGCTGCAGGGTCGCTCAGCTGTGGGTCAGTTTGGACTCAATAGCATGGAGTTGAGCTTTGAGGGGAAGAGGTGGTTAATTAAGTAAGGCTTCCAAGAAATGGGGCAGGAGAAGGCTAAGCTGGCCCTTGAAGGGGAATACAGAGGGGAGATGGGAACTGCAGAAGGGGCTCATGCCATCTGTCCCTGATCCTAGATTGGGGAAGGGATCCAGGTAATCTATCTACCACCAGGCAAGCCTGAGGGAGAGGACAGGTGATGACGAGGGAGAGACAAGGCTGGCAAGTGCTCAGGAGGCAGAGGGCAGGAGGAACCCTGCTCGCTGGCCATCCCTTCCCCGCTCAGCACCTCCGAGCTGCCCTGCATCTGCAGGGCACACGGGCCAACTTTATAAGGTTTCTCTCCTCAATCATAGCATCCTGGGTGGAGGCAGGATAACTGCTAATTCCCTGCCTCCGAGGTGAAATGGTTCTCCCAAAAGGGCCGTCATGAACAGGACAGCGCTGGGAGGCTGTGCTGACAGGCATGTCAGACATGGATGCGGCTGTCAGGGAGAGGCAAGGGCTGCCTGGGTCCCTCCACATGGTAGGCTCGTCCATCTCTGGACCCGGCATTATTGGAAATCCTTCACTCCTTTTGGTGGGGAGCAGATCCTGAAGCCCCCCCTCCAGAGATCACCTCCTCCAAGGGTTCTGTTGGCATGTGGGAACTGACTGGGTCATCCCCATTCTGGAGGGCAGGCCTGGGGATACCTGCAAGCCCTCTGGGAACCCAAACCCCCAGCTGAGGGTTTCTGTACACACAGCAGCATGGTGTCTGGGAGGCTCCTTTTATTTGCCTGACTCTCCCACCCTCCCATCACCATTTGTAATATGCTTATTTTGAGAAAAACTACTCCTCCCATTCCATTCAACCTTGTTGTCTGGGCCTGAGACCCTTCTCAACCATGAGCATGTGCTGAAGCATGGGGCTTCTCTTCAGAAAACGGCACATGTCCAGCCTTTTGCCCTGGACTGGGGTTTAGAAATATGTACACTCATGCTATCAGACAGGTCCCCCTCCACTCTGGTCCTCAGCATTCTGACTCAGGAGCTGGGGATGTAAATGTCATACAGTCCTTCTGAGAGCTTAGTGACAGACTCCTTCCCATTCTCACTCTTGGTAGCATCTACAAAGAAGGGGTCTGGGGCTGGCAGATGGAGATCACTTCAGACATGTCGGAGGGGCCAGCACAGGTCACCTGTGGATGTCAGGATTGTGCCCTCACTCCTGCTCAGTGTTCCCGGCCTGGGCTCGGCTGATAGAGAGCAGACAGGCCTCACATGGACTAACTCCAGAAGATGCACTGACTGAATCTGCAAGACCAGTGGCTGCCAGGTGCCCGAGGTAAGGACAGTCTCCGAGACAAAAGATGCCTCCTTCTTGAAGGATATTTGTGTGCACATGGCTGGGAGGGCATGCACCAACTCCTATAGCTCATCCAGGGCTTCCCCCTACAGCAGTAAGTAGCTCACTTGTTCTACATGGTAGACTGTGAACCAGGCAGGAGAGCATGTCCATTTATTCACCGGGAAACTGAGGCCCAGAGGTATGGCATGACTTATTCAGAGTCACGTGGTCAGTGGACAGAATTGGCTCTGGAACCCAGAGCCTTGGTTCTCAGATCAGTTTTCTTCCTCTTCAGAGAAGAGTTTCTTGTTAATGTCAATCCCTTGGGCATAAAGGATGCTGGTAGAAGGTAGAGGAATCCAGAGGGCTCACAGGCAGGGAAGGAGAAGGTCTCAGATCTCTGTGGATAACACAGCCAGGGCAGAAGGGTACAGCTGTGCAGGCACCAGGTCACCCCAAGTTGCCCTCTCTGTCCCCGCCCCCATTAGTCTCCAGGCCCATCTTGTGGCCTCTGCTTAACACTGTCCCCACTGCCGAGAATCTTCTTCCTTCCCAGTCGGACGCCCTCATGTGAAGGTACCATCATTCCCCCGTTGAGAGGAACTCCTTGTTCTTTAAAGCCCCATGGAACTTCCCTCTAAACCTCCACATGCTGCCTCACTGAACCTGGTGAGCTCCCTGAGGGCAGGAACCGTGCCTGACTGCTGTTTGTGCCTGGTATTCAGTAAGCACTCAATATGTGAGCAAGGTGCTAAGTGGGTGATGGAGGGAGTGGCTGTGTGAGAGTGCCAGCAGGGAGGTCCTGGCTGGGGTGCAAGGACGCAGAGGATCCAGAGCATGGTGCGGTGGGGAAGGGGCTGATGACTGAGCTGGTGGTGAGGGGCCTGGAGCTGCCCACCCTGCCCTTCCAGGACACTACACTCAGGGAGACCTGGTCCTCCCGCGAGGCCCTCAAGGTCAAGCTGTGTCGTGGAAAGGGGTGGCAGCTGCCATCTGACCAGGTTTCTAGGGAAGAGATGAAGCCAAAGGACACTCCTTGAAACCATCCCAGCACTGGCCAGCCTGGCCGCAGGCCACATGCGGATGCACAGAGTAGAAAAACCTTGTTTTATTTAGTCCCAACCTGGGCAATCTGCTTTGTGGTATGGCCAAAATATAAAAAATAAAAACCAACAACCAAGAAAACAAAGTTTTAGAGGAGAGTTAGGTACAAAAAACACCCAGGCCTGGCATCCGGAATCCCTGTGGGTTTGGTCCACGTTGGCTCCCTGAGGCCGGCAGGGAGGATGCCTGGCGTCCAGCTGCCCCTTCCTGCAGGTTGAGGTGCTGGGCTCCTGGGCCAGGTTTGCTCTGGTGGGAGGCTGTTGGGGCAGCAGCCCTGCTCTGAGAAGAGGAGGGGTCGGCCGACTGTCCACCCACTCTGAGATCAGGATCTGGGGAAAGACAACGGGGGTCTGTGACCAGGAAGTGGTCCTCCACAGCTGTCAGCAGAGACCTCCTGCAGCCTCTCCATGTGGGGTTTCCCACCCATTGACCCAGTTCCTGGTGATCTGGGCTCACAGAAGAGGCTGACCTCAAGCCCAGCTCTGAGGAGTGGATCGTGAACTCTTATCCACCCTGACCTGGTCCCAGCACCCCTACCCCTGGCCATCGTTAGCAGAGCTGCTGGTCTGCAAGTATTTTTTTTCTTGTTTTTTTTTTTTTTTTCTAATTCAGTACTGAAAAAAGAAAAAAAGCCTCCCTTTCCTCTTTAGAAACATGATCGAAACCCACAGGCGTCAGCCCCGCGGCCTTTCTGGGAACGCTCCGTCCGGCTTCCTGTGCGTGCTGGCCCGGCCGCCCGCCTGTGGTCAGGCCCACAGAGCTGCTCTAATAAACCCCTTCCAAGCACTTATGTAAAGGGCTCAGAGGAAGGGCCTGGCCTGCCCAGCCGCCCACAGGCCCTGGGGGAGCCAAGAGGTGGGGCTGTTCCTTGAGCCTGGCAGGATGGGGGCTCCAAGACTTTCCAAAGAGCTTCCAGGGAAAAAGGGTGCTGTTTCCACCCACCATTCTGAGCAGCAAGCAGGTGGAGGCCTGATGGGTGCAGACTCCCTGCATCCCTTGGTACCCCGTACCCCCCACCCCCCACCCCATCTGCTGGCTTCCTTCTCCTTCCCTAGAATCACTTTCCAGAAAACTTCCACTGGGTGCTGGATGGTTGGTGAGACTGGTTCTGGGACTCAGCCTTGGAGCCGTGCTTTCTCTGAGAGGTGGAGGCAGAGGCAGAAGCAGTGGTTCTAACCTTCTCAGTGACTCAGAAAATTCAGATCTAATTCTGCTCCTGAAGAACCTGATCTCTGTACTGAACTAGAAACTATGTTTCTCACTCCTGAATATTCCTGCAGGAGCATATGAACTGTGAGCTGTTAGGGTATTGGGGAGCAACCGAGGAATGAGCTGTCTCTAAAGGGGTCTTGGATCCAGGTCACTTCCTGGTCCTAGACACACAGTCAACCTGACCCTGGTCACACTGAACTCTGATCTTGGTCACACTGAACTCTAACCCTAATTAGTCTGAGCCCTGACCCGGGCACACTGAACCCTGGCCCCAGTTAGATTGAGCCCTGATCCTGGTCACACTAAACCCTGATCCTGTTCACACTGAAGCCTCTCACCCTATCCTTGACCTTTGTCATAGGCTAAATTTCTCATATTTGCCAATTACTCGTAAATATATCATTTTATGAAAAATGCCTCTTTGGCTGGCTGAACATCAGAACTTCTACGTTTTAAAAACAGGAGTTGTTTTGACTTGAGCAAACATCTAAAATCAACACTGAGTGAGTGGGATGGGTTTCTTTGTGCTCTTGGAAGCAGGGGGTCCTCTTGCATAGGGGCTGGAAGTGTGACTGAGGACAGCTGTATGAGGGAGTCCACACTGACGGAACTCGTCAGTTTAGCAGCTTCGTCCCTGAAGAAGGCTAGGGTCCGATGGCAGTGCATGTCAGGGTCATGTCTCCTCTCCTACACTTCCTTCAGTCCACTTGGTAATGGCACTGTGACCACAGTTGCTATTCAGTGTGCAATACTGCGTTCTAGGCCGCAGAAAGAGCACAGAAACCGGGCCTTTCAATGCTTGGAACAGGCACACATGGGAAGGTCCTCTCTCACAGTTAAGGAGCAAGAAAGCTGCAGAGCCAGGATGTCAGAGTCCATCGACATCCTTCCACCGAATTATGTGGCTCCCTGCTAGCTTCCACTTCACAAGTCTCTGGGAGCCAAACAATTAGGCCCCAAATCAACACCCTGCAGACTGAGCCCATCATGTGCCCTCAGCATGGGTTTGGCGTGGGCGAGGCACTTCCTGCCAAGTTGGCTTGTGCCCAACTGTAGCTGTGTTGGGTCAACAAGGGAACCCAAAGTGCAAATATGGCCTGCCTTTGCCATGGCTTCAGGGCTCCCCCGCAGGAGAGGGGCTGGGGTGAGGGCAGTGGCGAACACTTACTGGACAATCTTACAGTTTGTTGTAGAAACATAGCGACCTGTATAATGGATGTTGCATCTCACCACGTTATTGGTGAAGTCGGACTCCAAAACTATGTACTTTGGGTTCACGTGTACCTGCAGAAAGATGAGACAGAGAGGAAAGGACTTTAGTTGTTAGTGGGAAGAAAACACGTCCCCTGGTCACCTTGGAGGGTAGTGGAGAGTCAGACTGAGAAGAGGAATAGAGAGGGGAAGTCAAGAGACACTCAGAAAGATGTGAAAATAGGGATACACGCAGAGCAAAAGAAAGACGAAGAGCTAGGAGAGGCAGGGTCCCCTCACCGAACAACTGAAGCTTTCACAGAACCAGAGCCTGCCTAGTCCAGGAACTCAGGGTCAGAGAGGCTAGGGGCTGCCTCAGAGGACACAGTGTGAGTGCGGGGCCTTATCTGCCTGACTCTGGGCCTCGCGAGGCGCCTCATTGAAATGGCCCTACCTCAGAATGCTCAGCACCCCTGACATGCATTGAGACGATGGGCCCGAGCTCTGCCTATGAATTTTTATCTGAAAGGGAGCTGTTGGCACTTGCAGTTGGTTGGATAGTGTTTCCCACATGCATTTCCACTCCAAACTTCAGAATATGACCTTAACTAGAAATAGGGGTTTTGCAGTTATAATAGCTAAGGATCTTGAGCAGAAATCATCCTGGATTTAGGGCTTTCTTGACTAGGGAGCTCTGGTGGCTCAGTGGTAAAGAGTAGCTATGCCAACCCAAAGGCAGGCAGTTCGAATCCACTAGCTGCTTCGAGTGAGAGAGATGGGCCAGCTCTCATGTGATTAACAGTCAAAGAGTCAGCTATGAGTTGGTTCCGATTCAATGGCACACAACAGCTTCTTGATCTAATGACTAGTGTGCTTATAAGAAGAAGAGATCACACACACAAATACATGTGGAAGAGACCACCAGGAGAAGCAGGGAGAGGCTACAGTGATGTGCCCACAAGCCAAGGGTTGATGGCAACCACCAGAAGATAGGAGAGTGCATGGAATGGTTTCTCCCTTAGGACCTCCAGACGGAACCACCCATGCCAACACCTTGATTTTGAACTTCCAACCTTCTAAACTGTGAGGGAATAAATTTTGGCTTTTTTTAAACCACCAAGTTTGCAGCAAATTGTTATACACTAGAAAATTAATAGAGGACACAATGTTGGTCTTTTAAATGTTGGCCCAAGTGGAGTGGAGCTTCGCTGGACTAGGGATCGACCAACTTCATCTGAAGAACATTTCAGGATATTGCGTTACACCCACCCCTCACTTATCAACATGGTTATGTTCCAAAGGCCTGGTACTGGATCACGAAATGGAAGCTCACTGCATAACTTCCAACACTTCATTAAATAACTGCCAGATTTTGTCACTTTGTAAGTGCCAAATGACATTACATAATTGCCAAACCATGGAGAACCATGACCCAGGCAAGATGACACACAACCTTAACTAGTACACCGGCATCCCCCTCACCTCACACCTCAGCATTCACTCCTGCGAGACGCATCCGTTAGTAAATAAAACGGTCAGATTTAAGAGTTTTGAAGGGTGTTGTAAATGTGAACGGTCAGATAAGATAGCGCGAAAATGAGAGGGATGTGTACTCTGAAGTCCTAGTGGATACTCCCTACAGGGAAGGGACCATGATCTACTTGGTTTGCAGCCCTGTCGCACAGAATTCAGAGAGCATTCAGACATGTTCGAAGAAAGAGGGGAGGACAGGAATACACCTGCAGCCTCAGAGCCCGGATGGCGATGGGCAGAGGGCATGAGTCTGCTGAGAAGGACTCAGGAGGGGGCTGCACAGCTGATTTCTGGTCCTTGTTTTCAATGCAGCCTCCCCAGCATCTTGCCTTATGCCATCTCCCTGCTCCTTCTGTCCTGAACTTCTGTGTGGAGCAGGTTCAAGGGAGCTGGTAGAAGGATCACCATTTTCACTTCTCGCCTGCATGGAGGAGGCTGACTTTGGCTTTCCTAGGTGAGGGCATGAGAACCAGACCCTTGCACAGCTGGGTCAGGTTGGACTGTATGTTCTCAACATGCTTTTCTACCTGTTCCAGGGCTGGGGGTGGAGTGGGTGTCCACTGCAGCAGGAGGGAATCAGAAGAGATGGACTCTTGTTCACAGAAGCCCTTGACTCTGCAAGGATCACTCTTAGGAACTCATCAGGCTGAGAGGGTCCCTCTCAGAGGAGGGGTATGTCCTCTCACGGATGGCCAAAGCCCACCTTGCCTGGAGACAGGGAGGTGGACCACACGAACTTTCTAAGCCTGCCCTTACTCTCTTTCGTCTATCGTCAATAGAACACAGGGTCTCCCCCTCCTCCAGAATTATCCTTCTCATGCTCCTCATGCAGCCAGGGTGGCTGAAGGTTCCTTGGTGTCTTTATGGAAAGACAAGCTGTGCCTGCCTGAAGGGAAGTCTTGTGCTGGTCTAGGATGCACTTTGCTCAGCAGCTGGAGAGAAGGAAACTCACCCCGAAGCTGAGGCATATTTCAGCACTGGGGTGGGGGCACTGAACACGTGCATGTGGTTGGAGGAGGTGCCCCCCTTCCTCGGAGACCCACCTTGAGGATGTAGTTCCCTGGTTGCACATCAGTGATGTCGATCCACTGGCAGTCGATGTCTGCGTTGTAGGTGTCATAGCAGCCTGGGCTTAGACCCTGGGCAAAGGGGAAGGAGGAGATGTTGGGGTGCTGCCCATCGCCAGAGCTGCCCCCTGCTCACCCTCACCGGGCTGCATCCTCCTTCCTCTAGACAAGGGAAGCTGCTCAGTGTGGGTCCTGCTGCCGTCCTGCACATTGGATGGATGGATAGATGGATGGATAGATGGATGGGTGGATGAGGGAGAAGATGGAGAGAGAAGGTGATGGGTGGGAGAAACTGAAGGAAGGAAGGGTGGAGAAGGGATAAAGAGATGTACAGCAGGGAGATGGGAATTTTATAGGTCAATGGACCACTGGGTGGGTAAGCAGGCACACAGCACATTATTTCATCCAGACTCTGCCAGAGTGTTCCTTTCTTTCTATGAGCAGATCTCTCTAGATAGGATGTACAGAAAGGGCCTCCCAGGAAGGCGTGGTGCCAGCAGGGCCCTGTGGTGCTGGGAGGGTTGGTATGAGGACCCCCACACTAACTGGGGAGTTCAGGAGTCTTGGTCGTAGCCTGTCTTCAGCTGAGTATTGTTCTCCTAAACAACCCCCGCCCCAGTGCTCCTGTGCCTACTGCCCCTCCTCTGGAGCCCAACCTGGGTATGAGAGGTGCATGCATATCGCTTGAGGTTGCCAAAGTCACAGGTACTGTCCTCCAGGCAGAAGCTGGCCTTGTGACCTTCAGCCACCTTCTTGCCTGTGGCTGCATCCAGTAGGTCGTAGTGGCTGAACTCGTCCATGCTGTGGTAGTGTCTGGGGTGGGGGGAGGAGAAGAGGAGGGATGAAGGCCCAGCCACCATGGGCTTCCTTCCCATCCTGTCCTGTCCTGGCTGGTCCTGTTGTGTCCTCTTATGTTTCTGAGTCTCAAAGGACAGTACTTCTCATGCTCCTCACCCAGCCAGGCTGCCCTCTCCTTCAGAACTCCTCAATTCTTTTGTGGGTTCCCCCTCCACATTGGCTTTCCTTGGGCGATGCCCTGTATTCCAGACATTTCTCTCTGTCCCATTTGCTAGCCCAGCATTTGGAAGCCTTCCCTGAGATGCTCCTGATCCTGTGACATGTCCTTGGCAGAGAACACCTCACAGGACTGTTCAACTAATACCTGCATATTCCCGAGCTTTCATGGGAGAGGAAGGCAGCCCAAGGACCCCGCCCACAGGAGGAGGGGGGAGGGGGCCACTCCCCCACCCCGGGCTCCCACTCACTGGTGGCAGCTGTGCCACTCCCAGGTGTGCCTGGGACGGTTAGGGAGGAAGTCCGCTGTGCCCTGGTTCTTGACGCGCTGGGGGAAGCGCAGTAGCACCCGTACATCGTAGTCAGTGGCCTCGGGGGCGTAGGCTGTGCTGTGGGGACAGGTGGGGGAGATGAGTGAGTGGGGGCGGGTGGAGTGACACCAAACCCCAGAACAGGTCACATTATCCCTCTTGGTCTTTGGTTCCCCCAACAAGGGTCTCTGAATGCGACTCCTCCATGGTGGCTGAGGCTCGGGCCGCTCCTCCCCTCTCTGGACCCTCAGTGAATCTGGCTTGCCTCTCCTTTTCAGCCTCCCCATGGAGTCTTCTTAAATCAGCCGGACATTTTTAAAGCACTGGGCCTGGGCTGACCCTCTGAGGGCCCTTGATGTCTGCAAGTAACGCTCAGCCATGGCGCAGATTAGCCCTCTGAGGTGAGCAGCGGCCAAGATAAAGTCTTTGGAATAATAGCCTTTCTCTGAAGGGTCTGATAAACCTTCCCTCCTGCAGAGGAAGAACCCTAATTCTTGATCAGTGCGTGTCACGAGCATGGGCATAAAAATCATCATGAGCCCCTTGTTGCCAAAGCCTACTCACTTTCCTAGGCTTCCACACACCCTGGGCTCTGGCCTCCTACCCAGGCCCTCAAACAGGCTTGGCTCTTTCTCTGATCAATTCTTTTGCCCATGAAGTTCAATCCATCTGGAACTCCAAAGCTCACTTAACCTCCTGTGCCCAACTCAGGTGACCCTCCTCCAGGAAGTATGCCTCCACTGCTCTACTTAGAGGGCTCCTGATGGGCCTGGGAGGTACAGCAGTTCTGCTTGTGGCATCCCTCGACACAATACGTTCCCCACACTGGTGTGGATGAGACTGGGTTGCCTCTCCCTAATGTAGGCCTGGAGGTCAATTCATGGAGCTCAGGTCTGGCAGAGTACCTGTTTATAGACACGTGCTGCCTCAAGAGCACACTGAGCCATGCCTTGTGAGAAAGGGAGAAGGAGAGAGATAGGAGGAACCAGGGGAGGTTCAGAGTGGATGCACACACACCCCTCCTCCCCGCCACACACACCCAGCCAACAAGGTCTGGGTCCTAACCCCAGAGGAAGGAGGTGGCCAGCCATGGGGATTAGCCTGCTTTCTGAAAGGATGTCTGGACAACAGGCGGCTCAGACTTCTGTCTGCCAGGACGAAAGGCCCTTAGCCTTGGCTGGGGGAGGCCTGGAATCCGTCTGTGTCTGGTTGGAACAAAACATCCTCCTTCTCTCTGTTCATTTAAATCCTACCCTTCTGTTCAGCTCGGCACACCGTGGGAAACCATGCGGGGCTAAGTTCTAGGCCCAGCTTGGCCACAGGCTCGTGGTGAGACTTGGAGTGTGTTCCTTCCCTCCTCTGGACTTTGTGTACAAGCTGGCACCAGCTCACAGACCATACTTGAGACACTCTTGGAGGGTCCCCTGTCCTGGGCTCTAGTTCTGTGGGTTTCCTCGGTCTGCAGTCTTGTGCCTGATCTTCAGGAAGCTGCAGGCCTTGCCAACATCTCCCTTTCACTGCCCACAGCCCTAGCCTGTGCACCCCCTCATTTTAGTTGTTCTCCTGTTCTACATTGTTTGCTTCTGTCACTGGGGTATGAGTTGAGGGGGGACAGTCTCTCTAGCCTGACCAAGAAATGCCCCAAGGCAGAGAAGAGCCTAGAGGTTTCCCTCCCCATCACATCTGGAAGGTCACGTCAGGGCACACAGGATGCTCTGTGAAAACATACGAACATTCTGGCTTTGCCTCCAACTCCTCAACTGGATAGGCTGCCACTGAGGTTGTAAGTTTCCCATTGAGGAAGAATTATAATAGGAACGTTATGTTCTCCTCTCAAGGACAACTTAAGAGAAGAAGAGACCTCAGTAGAAGGCAGGCGCCCTGGGTGGTTCTCAAGGTGTGGTCCCTCGACTGGTGCCTGCTCAAACACTGTCACCAGTCTGTGATGAGATAGGAAACCTGCACCAGAGTGGACATCAGTGACTATACTAATCGCGCTGGCATTTATTTACTTATTTAAAACACGACTTTTCTCAACGAACAAGTCATGCACTGAGTCCACTCTCCTGCAAGCTCTGTTGTCTCTCTGCAGGCAGCCAATGAACAGACTGGGAAGCTACTCTGAATGGCTGTGCACCAGAGCTTCCACAAAAGAGAAAAAGGCTGGCACTTTAAAAGTCTTCCTAGATACTAAGAAATAAATGTAAACAGAGTGCAGATGTCAACAAAGCAAGCAATTAAGAAAAATATGTGCTTTCAATGGATCTACCCACCAAAGCGGCACACAAGCATAATCTTGAACGAGTTTCTTTCCACAGGGAGATGATGGCAGGTCACGAAGTACACACATTTGAGCAGAACGCCAAACACTAATAAATTTAGAAGCAACCTCCACAGGAGGCAGAATCCACTCATAAATAATGGTGGGCTGGCTCTGCTCAATTTCTGGGGTGTGTACACTGGTCTGCTTCCTCTCCGATAACACAGAACTGGGGTCTCTTTGTCACCCTATGTGTACAGCCCCTGCTGTGACCCAGGTAAAAAGATGGCCTGGGGCAGCCTGGGCCGAAGTCACAAATGTCCTCTGTCCAGATACCTTCCTAAACCTATCTACTATCCTGAAAGCTTGTCTATCTTATAGCACTTCCCTGGGTCTTTGTGTGAGCAATGGAAACCCAGCACCACCACCCCCCACCCCCTGGCCACAGAGGAACCGCCTTGTTAGGCAGCTCCAACCTAAAAGGTTTCAAATCCTTTCCCACCCCCACTTAGTTTTCTCTTTTTGTACGTGGGAATAAGATGGATCTTTGGGTTTGACATAAAGGATAAAGGCTGCAGCAAAAGTAAAGTTGTTCCTCTCTCCTGACTTCCTTGAGACCAGCAAGGATCACAGAGGACAGGGTCAAAGTCCTGAGGGGCTCAGACACTAGGCCAACGCCATGCGGCTTGTGAATGAGCAGCCTGGTTCCTTCTTCTGCACGTGGACCTCAACACCTTACCTGGCCAGACACTTCTCCTCCGCTGCACAGCGCAGGGAGTACAGGTGGGCCCGCTGCACATACGTGGACGCTTGCACATAGTTGGGGTCTGGGATCAAGTCGGGGAGACCTGGAGTGGAGAGCAGGAGAGAGAGAGGAAGGAAGAATGTGGAAATGGAGAGGGTCAGGCTGGACAATGTTAACATAGCTAGGCTTTTCCCAGCCCCAAACACTATTGTTCTCTTCCTCTCTGCATGCTGTTACCTCCTCCAGGAAGCCTTCTCACCCTGAGTTAGGTATGTGATTTGGACCTTTCCCTCTGTGTGCTCAGTCCTGGGCTCAGGTGTGGCTAGATAACATGTGAGCTCCATGATGTGGAGCCACTAAGACCTCCTGGACAGGAGCAAGATCAGGGAGACTGGGCAGAGCTGGAAGAGCCAGCATTGCCGAAAGGGTATTCTTAGCTGGGGGGGGTGGGGGGCGCTGGTGCAGCAGGAACAAAGGCCTGCAGGCAGGACTGAGCGAATCAAGCAATTTCCTGAAAGACACTCCTCATGTTGTTTTGTGCCCCAGCCTCTGGCCACCAGCCCCTGGATCTCTCTTCTCTGAACACGTTCATGAACCACCAAGGGCTCCCTGGGCTTCTGGTCTGAGGTGGGTTGCAGGAGGATCACACAGGCAGAACCAGGTGAATTTTGGTTGGCGTAAGTCAGAAAGGGCAGGAAGGGTGAGGCTGGAAGGAAAACATTTCCCAAGCAGGCTGCTGACAGAGCAGGATCCCAGCTGGGCATCCAGCCCGACCCTCTCAGGGCTCCTCTCTTCCTGTCATTTCCACCACCACCCCCTCCCACCCTCCACCCTTTGCCTCCCCCAGAACTGACCACACTATCCCCTGTCTGCATCCTCTCCTTTGCCCTTGACCTAAGAGAGGCTCTCTTCATCCCTGCAGGGTCCATGTCAAGCCCTCTTGTGGACTACTTGTTCTCTGGACTGTGCCAGAGTCGGGGTCTGTCTCACCCCACTTCCTTTGAAAGAACTGATCCAAGTGATTAGAAATAAGCAGAAACCAAACTCGGTGTCCAGGCCCCTTCCTGCACTGAAATAAAAGCACATTTGTGATACTGGGAGTGACAGGGCAGGGGTGGGTGGGCAGGGGAGACACCACTGACCCAGCCTCAGCTCAGCCCTGGCTTGAAGGGGTCAAGGATTCTAGTAGGTAAATGGCAGGGGAGGGTGAAAAGAGGTTTTAGGTTCCTCTTAGCTTTAAGAATGCTCTGCTTTTAGGAGGCAGTGGGAGGGTTGGAATAAAGCCATGGAACACAGGATGGGGGGGGGCGGGGACACTGGAGTCACTGAGACATTCTTCTGGTCCCCTCACCTTGCAGACAAAACCATCTTGTCAGAGATGAGACAGAGGAGATGAACTGCTTTGAAGGCTTTGATGGGGACATTGGCCCGTCACCCCAGCTTCCCCTCATCCCACACACCTTGGACCCCAGACTCTGGCCTAGTTCTCCCTGAGGCCTGGGCTTCGTATGGGGGCCTGGTCTAAGCAGCCAGCATGACATCACTTACTTGGAATGAAGTGGCAGCTTGGAGGACAGGGTGGGTGAGGATGAGGTGGCTCCTGGCTGATAGGGGCTGCCTTGGCGAGCCTAGGCCCTATGACCCAAGCCCCCAGGAATGCCTGCAGTCACTTCCTGAGGGGCCTCAAGTCCTCAAGAAAGAGGCCACCATGGTGCTGAGCTGGGGGTGAGTTATCACCCTGGGTCCTGGACTGTCGCTGGGGGTCGGGGTGAGGAAAGGGGATACATTCCCATTTACCATCATCAAAGTTCCTCGTCTCAGTTATATGTGGGTGTGAGGGGGTGATCAGCTGGGCCTGGACCCTCCTGGGACCCAGCATTTGGCATCACACAACCTGACTCCCCTCCTAGGCTCTGTTTCAATAAACACTACACAGATGGCTTCACAAGCCTTTTCTGGCCCAGCCCTGCCTCTCTAGGCCATTCCCAGAGCTGGCTTCACAGTCTAAGGAAGATGGAAGAGCCAGATGAGTAAGAGGCCCAGGGTCCTCAGGGCCCCTTGAGGGCCAGCGTTTCTGTCTGCTGACTGAGCCTGATGCTGGACACACACTGAACCCTGACTTTGGGTCAATACTGAGCCCTAACCTTGGTCACACATTAACCTCTGAGCCTAGTGCCAGACTGACCCTTGACCCTGGTCCTAGGCAGAGCCCTGACCCTGGTCACACACTGAGACCTGATGCTGACCACAGACTAACCTCTGATCCTGCTCATACACTGAGCCCGGACCATGGTCACAGAGTGACCTTTGACCCGGCTCATACATGAAGGTCTGACCCTCCTCAGGAGAGCCTCTCAGGACAGAGTCTCAGCCTTTTCAGGAGAGGGACTGACAGCTTGGGGCTGCCAGCACAACCTGAGACATGAGTCTGGCCAGAGATGATCAACTTCTCTCACTGTTAATCAAGTTCAGTGTCACATGGGTGCTACCTACCTCTGCCAGGTGGGTGGCTTTCAAGATTCGTGGCCTAATATATTATGACTATTCCCAGCGCTCATGCTCTACCCGCTAGACTACCAGGACATCACATGCTTTGGGGCATGGTGGAGGAAATGGGGCTCAGACAGGGCAATGAATTTCCCAAGGCCATGTAGTGAGACCCCAGGTCTGGACCTCCTTCCAGAAGGCCTGCTGCTCTCTTTTTGATTTTCTGATCACTGGTCAAATGAATAGATGTGCTGATTTTTGATAACTAGTCAAATGTGTAGAGAACTCTTGTGGCCTAGTGGTAAGAAGCTATGCTACAAACTCAAAGACATGTGGTTTGAATCCACCAGCTGCTCCTTGGGAGAAAGATGGGTGAGCAATCTCCTCCCGTGTGATTTACTGCCTCTGAAAACCTGCGGGGGGTGGGGTGGGGTAGTCAGCTATGAGTGGTTTCCAACTTGATGGCACACAACAACAACAACAACAAGAAGTCAAATTTATAGACTCTTAGGTATATGGTTTTGTAAGTGTAGACAAATACACACAGTCTTTTACCATCACAGTAAAGATTGTTTCCATAGTGCAAGAGTTAAGTTCTGATCTGTTTTTGGTCACAAAGTTGCTACAAATTGAAGTCAAATTAGCAGCAAAAACAATAAAAAGTTCTCTCCTGCCCCTTCCAGTCCAACTTGCTTCTCCTCTTCACCATCTCAGGCAAATCTGCCTTTTAATCACCACAGTCTACTTTTGCCTCTTCTGAACTTCATGTAAATGGAATCATTCCTACCATTATTTCATCACTTTCTTGATTTCACCATGTCCATCACTGGGGCCTCCTGGGACCCCTGAGGCACCTCCTTCCACCACCATTCCCTCCCTGCTACGCCCCACCCTATGCCACCAGGACTGGCTCTGCGAGGCTTCTGGAAAAGAGGGCTGGCTGCCTTGGGGGTTGAAGCTGTGTTTGGGATCCAGGCTGAGGTCCGAGGGTACAGCGGCCCCCTCCCTCGGCTGGTATATTTTTCCAGGAAGGAACAAGGCCTCTTTCTCCCGGCCCTGTCTCCCAGGGGGCATTCCGTCAGCTTCCAGGCCTGCAGACTTGGGATCTTGGCCCCTTTCAGCTCTGTCATCAGGCTTGGGTGTGGGGAGGGGAGGGTGTGTGAAGCTGGGAAGAGAATGGGGGAAGGTTTGTGTTGGGGCAGGGGTGTCATCTGCTGGTTTTGGCTGTGGAATGGCTAATGTTGGGTGAAGTCCAGCAATGCCCAAATCAGCTGATCCTATGAAGTATGAAGATCCTGGTGAGGAGGTAATGCTCACCCCAGAACAGGGAGGCCATAGAGAGGATTTCAGTCATTAGTCACACCATTGTCATATTTAGGAGGGACTGGGATCCATTTTCCAGCATACATAGATTTATCCTGCCCTTGGGCATAGAAGTGGAGACTCACTCACATGAGTTCCAAGGAAAACTTCTCCCAGATATACACCCCACCATTTTTTATAAGCGCAGACAATTGCATCTGTCACAATTCTGACTTCCAGCCAACATTTCATAATCATTGGTCTATGCAAAGCTCTCTCTTCTTGCCTTATTGGAATCATTTCACCTTGATCCTCACTCCTGACTGTCACACACGCCCTTGAACTCCGCGTAACTGGGTAAAGTTTGCAGTGCAGCTCTCTGGTGGGCGAGTGGTAGGAAGCTGTGCTGCCAACCTGAAGGCCTGCTGTTCAAATCCACTAGCTGCTCTGTGGGGAAAATAGATGGGTAATCTCTACCTGTGTGATTTACTGCCTCTGAAAATCCACCAGAGGATCAGCGATGGGTCAATTCCAATTCTACAGTACATAACAACAGCAAGAACAACAGCAGCAGTAGCAGCATGTATTTTGGAGGGGTCCCTGAGAGTTCAAATCGTTAAACATTCAGTTTTAACCAAAATGTTGATGTCCACCCAGAGGTTCCTCAGAGGAAAGGCCTGATAATCCACTACCAAAAACACCAGGATGGAATCCTCATTCTGTTACACACCGGGTCATGGTGAGTAAGAATCACCTGGACAGCAGCCTGCTTTGTGTTTTTAAATACATACATGATTATTGTCAATACAGATCTCATTCTGTCGCTTGATTTTTCTCTTAAGTCACTGCTAAATATCAGTCCGAGGTTCACATACCCCATGTTCAATTTATTTCATCCCTTGGAGATGGGCCTTGGGTGGCCTCTAACTCCCTACTCTGCAAACATGTTGCAATGGATCACTTGTGGAGGTCCCCTGTGCTCTGGGGTGTGGAGAAGCACACCCAGCTTCCTTTCTAACTCGTGCATGGCTCTAATCTTACTCAGCTGGAGTAGGCGTGGGATGAGGGATAGCATCCAAAGGCTGCCTGGCTGGTCTTGCTTGGGATACTCAGGGAGGCCCTGATCACCATCAGCATTCCGCCTTCTGTTTGCAAAAGGTAGAAGGATTCTGGTCTACACTGTCATAGACTTTCTTTGTGACCCCAGGCAAGCTTGACCTCCTTCTCGGTCAGTCTAATGTTCTTCCACCGGACTCATGACCTAGAACCTGTACTGGTCCCCTGCAGGCACTTCCCTCAAAGGAGCATGCTTAC